CATTCGGTTAAATGACAAAGGAAAAGATATTCCAATAAAAGCAGAAGACGTCCAAGAAAACGATGAGATATGTAGATCTGTAGAGGGCACTGAAATGCCAATCGATGTGACACCGTATCGTGTTTGGTTTTCAGGTAAGCATTAAAATTTTAGGTAGTTTTACTGTGAACAGACATTATGTTCCTGAATATAATTAGGGGTAATGTAGTCATTGAAATCGGTGATACTTAAACTGATGTAAATGCAACTAATCATATTGGGTGATGTACTATGATGTACATGAAGAGAATTAATATTTCAAATTGTTGCCAATAAACCAAACTTTATATATTTTAAAATAATGTAACTTGATAAATACCCAAAGGTATTTTTTATAATCCCCGAAAATGATATCTTTACAGATCTTATCAGCATTTTTCCCCTTGGCAAATTTTTGCCCATCGCCTTTGTTAGAACAGTATAAATATCACCCACAAAGTTATGCAATTTATATTTTAATCATTCCAACAAAACGAGTTTTACATGGGCATCAACGTCTGTGTGAGGGTAAGACTGTTGCAGTTCTATGTGCCGAACATTTTTATGTACAGAAACAGATGTGTCTGTACACATAGCCGTCACCTGCGTCTGTCGTTGCAGTTGCCGTAGGCCGTCACCATTGTCGCCGTTGCCGTGCACTCAGCAATAACACGATAAGTGGAATACCATTTTACATTTTGTATTCAAATTTGCATATATGCAGCACTGATAACACAATATAAGAAAAACAGATGGGCAAATTGCCATTATACTCACAGGACTGGTCAACCTTTCTAAAATGTAGGACAAGTTTGAAAATCAGCATAATCGGGCCATTATTTTATAAGTTATGCTGTTTTTTCACATTTCTTCAGATTCAATTCTTAGGCATGTTAACAGTCTCGTTATTTAACTAATAAGATACCTAAAAGTGTTTGTTTGACATTTCCTGCATCTTTACAACATTGTTAGTTGATTATGTAAAAATGATGGTAAACTTGTTATCATGTATTGTATAATAAAGTGTCAAAAATGGAAATAAACTCATATAATTGCAGTTTGTAAGATTCAATCATTCACTATGTTCAGAAACTCAGAATGGAGTAAATTGGACATAAAACACTGTTCTATTGATATTTTTATGAAAATGGCAGTAAACTGATAATTTTGTTATATGTTAAAAAATTGTTAAAAAAGGAAAAAAATGCATTTCAGGACAGTGCTGTCTTGTCTACATTTTGGCATTTTCAAGGTGTGACTTTGAAGTTCCATGGGCCTGAAGACCTTTGCTAGTCACATTTTCTGAATATCCGTGATACTAATATTTTATTATTAAAAATTGATGGTTATTATCCTGTTAAACATTATAATTCATTCCTTACCATCACCAGCAAGGCGACATCCTACACTTTAAAATTGATGGACTGGAAAATGTCGTCATAATAGATCCACTTTAGTTAGCAGTTGTGTTTTCTGCCATCATGACCCCGGCCAGCATTCACTCTGGATGTAGTCGCGGGAGTCCTAAAAGAGGAGGTATTTGATGAGTATCTAAAAGAATTTAAGATGGCTGAAAAAAAGACTGAAATCATTCGACTTATGCTGCATTTCGACTTGATGTTAGAAATATCCCAATCAGTTGAAAACCCTCTGCCTGGACATGGAAAAAGAAGATTCATCGTACCCAGTATGCTAGTATAAAATAACAGTGCAAATGAGACAAATCCGCAGAAATATTTGCTTATCGCATTCCCTCATATTCTGTTTCTTACTGGGTTATTTCATTGTGTGACCGTCCGTCTTCTAAGGAAGTATAAAGCTCAGCAATATAAAAATAACATCCCAGTTGTCGGGTTTGACAGCGCCTCCTTCCGTCTGGCTGATAAACAGTCGGTGCTGCATCTCGCCATTGAAAATAAGGCCATGAAGTTGTTTATAACTAACGCCACTGGACTCCCTCCAAAGACTCACGTGTACTCAGAAGCAACAAAAACAGTTGAAAACGAGTTGACAGTCCTTCGGGATACATACTGCCCCAGGATGCATTTTGGCTACAGCATCAGGTTAAAAAATGACGGACCCAATATTCCAATAAATGCACATGACGTCCAAACGGGCGATTCCATATGTGTGTATGTAGAGAACTCTGACGTGTTGGTAGATTAGAGGCCATATCGCGTTTGGTTTTCCGGTGAGCAGTTTGAAATATCACATAGTGTTGTTGTGAATAGACATTAGGCCCTATGCTATTTTAACATAGAACATGCATTCCGTGTTAATTGGTTCACAGATCTTAACATTTTAAAAGATCCCTGATTACACATCATGTAATATCTGAAACCAGATACCATAAGAAAATTTAGGTTTGATTAGTTTTAATTTTCAAAATAATTTATCTGGAAAAAAGTATTAAGGATATTTCTGTTTTGTACATATATTTTTGAAAATATTGATTTTTTACACAAACACTAATGACATACAATGTTAGTTATTTCGTATGAATACTCAATTGTATATGCAATAGACTAAAAAATGCTCAATTAGAAATTAATGGGAAAATTTATATTAATCTACCCTTCTTAAATGAACTAGGTACTTGTTTGTAACATTTTTATTAGAAACAAAAGGCAAGATATCGTATTCAGATTTTACTCAAACATGTTATGAATTAGCAACCTGTGATAACAAGTCATTAGAAACATGTCAGTGAAAAATAAAACCAAAATTAACAATCATTTCGGAATGACACTTGGATTTTGAAAGGAAAAGTACGGCGTATGATAGGACATAAAGTATTTTGATGGGGCCCTAGAGGCCAAGTGCCAATATATAATATATATTAGGCCAATCTTACCATTTTAGCAGCCCCAGAGAATCAAGACCGTCGTGCAGCCAAGTGTCCTGAAAACGAGGCAAGTTATGAGCTTTTAAATACGTTTGTGTCTAAGTACTGCGCAGCAAACACATAACGTTATTATAACGTTACCATATCATATGTCCAAAAACATTTTGGTAACATTATAGTAATGTTCTGTGTTTGCTGACCATTATCCTCACTTGCACAAGTTTTAGTAAGACCATGAAATTAAATGTACTTGTATATACACAATGGTAAGAAAAATTGGATACACTTAGGCATAAATGAGCACTTTTCACTCTGTTACACTTGCTATACGACCTCCGATATTTCTAATGATAAATTTCACATAAAGACGGTGTATGTGTGCGTTTCAGTACAAGAACGATTCTGAACCAAGAGGTCGTGCACTCATTATCAACAACAAGACATTTTCCGTGGACTGGCTTCCAGAACGTGATGGTACCGAGGTAGACGTTGTTGCCTTGAGGGAACTATTCCGTTACCTCCATTATGAGACAGACGTTATCAGTAACCTGACTGCAAATGTGAGTTCATTAATAAGATCGTGGTGTGTTTGTAAAAAAACGAACATCGTAAAAGCCAAATGGCTTTTAGGTTTCAAAGACTAACATACTTTTTGGTGATATCTAAATATATTTATCAGTGACACAAAGATGATACAATTGATACTTGAACCTTTTGGTTCAAAACAGGTGTTATCAAACAAACTTTTCGGTCACATTTTATTATGTTTATCTATTTCACTGCAATATATTTTTCTACTAAAATGAAACATTTCACTCGTTTCTGTTCATTGCATGTATTTGTATTTATATGAGAGACGTATGGTACACTGTATAGTTATACAACATTGGTCAAAAAGGTTGTCCCACCCCTATTTCCATGTACTTTTATTTACAAATGATCACCTTACAGCTGTAAATTGTTAGAAATAGTGCTTTTTTATGTACAGACACAGATGTGTCTGTACATATAGCCATCATCTGCGTCTGTTGGCGCCGTCGGCGCCGTTGTCGCCGTCGTGCACTTTTACCGATAACACGATAAGTGGAACACTGTTTTTGCTTTTGGCTTGAAACTTACAGAACTGGTGAATATTTCTAATACGCAGGTCAAGTACAAAAATCAGCATGATCGGGCCATTTTTAGGGAAGTTATGCTGTTTTTTCACTTTTTTCAGCATATATGCAGCACCGATAACACGATAAGTGGAAAACCATTTTACTTTTTAGCTTGAAACTTACAAAACTGATGAATATTCATAATCCGCAGGTCAAGTTCGAAAATCAGCATGATCGGGTCATTTTTAGGGAAGTTACGCTGTTTTTTCACTTTTCTCAGCATATATGCAACCCCGATAACACGATAAGTGAAATAACGTTTTACCTTTTGGCTCGAAACTAACAGAACTGATGGATATTCATAATACGCAGGTCAAGTTCGAAAATCAG